AAAAGCAATGCTTCTGGGCAAAAGAAGGCACATAATATTAAGCCCTGAAAGACTGTGTTCAGGCAAGCAGTGGTGCAGAAAAGAACCTGAGCATTGTGGATTGCTTATCATGAGTATCTTAATATGAATTTCTGGTAGGCTGCACTGTTCAAAGAAGTGAATGTCGATAAATTAATATGACAACATGCAGGAGAAAAGAGGGAGATGGTCTGGCTCTTTATATATACCCCAGTGCACTTGTGCACAGGTGGGAGGTCAAAGGAAGGAAGCAAAAATAATCACAGGATTAAAAACAGAGAAACCAACAACTGCCTGGGTTTAGGAGCTTTGTTTTTCCATTTAACGCCACAGAGGTTGAGAGTTGTCATGTCTATATAAAAATACCTATCTATAGATAGACACATACTGCATATGCAAATATATATATATATACAGGTGTAAAAGAGATCTGGTGGCTTAGCAAGAACCAACAGGGTATCAGGCAGATTCAACCTTGAGATCACAAACAGTGCTGTAGCTAAACTGGTAGTGAAACTTTAGGAAAAGAGAGCTGGTGGAACAGTTTATAATCTTTTAAGATAAAATTAGATACTACATTTTGTAAGATGTTCTTTAGTCAAACTTCTGGGAACAATTCAGAGGGTTTTATAGAGAGATTATAGCTGAGTGACTGCAGTAGTTGCTTCAGGCTCTAGAATATGTAAATGTGTAAATGATATTGAAAAACTCCACATATGCAGATATGTTTCAGAAGGAAAACTCCAGTGTCTTTTCTGGGGACCAGTGTTCTCTCCAGGTTAGATGGCTTCATGATATGACTTAATTTCATTTTATTGCTTCTCTATGTTATTATTATGCACAGCAGTTTAAACATTGTGAGCAGAGATACTGGGTTTGAATTTTATATGTACATGGGATTTATTTGGATGATTCCACATATTTTTAATTGAAGAACAGGTGTTCCCTGTAAGCTAAATGGGTATCCACTTACCCTGCTTTTATATAGAGAATACATTAAACTTTGTGTGTGTTTGTTTTCATTTCAGCTTTCATTCAGGAAGACTATTACTGATAAAAATCTTTGTTTCAAACAGCACAGAGTAGAAGTGCTCAGCTGCAATTCAATTTGTGAAGTGTTTCTGTTACAGTGTTGTCACTTTTATAGCACTCCAGTGAGGGGCATGGAGAGGACTTCCCAAAACACGAATTTTGACTTCAGACTTGAGCCTCTTACTACCTTCTTTTCTAAAAGATTTTTTGAATATAAATGTGGTGATAAATGTATCTTGAAGCTTGATGCTTTTACCTTTATATTCCTAATTTTGTGGTTGTGTATTGCCAGGTAGCAGCCATCAGATTTGTTCTGAAATTGCAGCTCATTCTCTGGGAGGTTACAGAGCAGCCTTCCCTGTCTTGTTTGTTTTAAACAAATTGACATTGACTTGTAATTGCCTGGGAGAGTTTTTGTCTTGTGTCTGGCTGGAGTTAGGTGTTAGGTCAGATCTTAAGAAGAAATTCTTTATTAAGAGGGGAAGTGAAGCACTGGCACAGGTTGCCCAGAGAGGTTGTGATTGCCCATCCCTGGAAGTGTTCAAAGGCAGCCTGGATGGGGTTTGGAGCAGCCTGGTCTAGTGGGTGGCATCCCTGCCCATGGCAGGGTGGTGCAAGGAGATAACCTTAAAGGTCCCTTCCAACCCAAACCACTCCATGATTCTGGAGTTTGTGCCTGACTGACACAGAGCTCAGAGGTTTCTGTGCATCTCCAGTCTGGAAATCTGTCATTTCAGCATTTCCACTTTGGTCTGAGATGTTTTTGATTCAGTGCCAATGGATAGATTGAACTGCTTGTTAAGTTGGTTTCTGGCACTTGGGTGTTGAGATTCTGCTTGATGGAGGAGCTCTGGTGGACTTTGCACACCCAGTTTGGTGTGTGCTTCTGAAAGACACAGCCATGGAGAAGAAGTGCAGGTGTTTTTGAGGGCAGAGAGGGCACATCTGTCTTGATAGAACTTTCTAGAATATCGGAGTTCTGGTTTGCCTTCCAAAAGGATCATCTGGGCTTGGAGGCGTTCCTAATTGGTGGCAGACGGAAGTCAGTATTGATCCATGGTCATTTGTGCTGGCTTTGGGACAGGAAACCCTGGGGACTGTGTGTGCAGGCTGGCAGGGATGTCCTCTGCCTTGATGATCCAAGCAAGGTCAGGAGAGAAATGGTTCAGCCATCCAGCTGAAGGAATTTTGGCATGCTGCTTGGGCCCAGGGATCAATCCTAAATAGCTGCCTTATGCCTATCTGAGAAAAAGTCTTTCCAGATCTGATGTTCCTGTGTTGTGTGGTGGCTGTCAGGGTCTCCAAAGTACAGCTGGGCAGTTCATGCATGGAAGGACTTGTTGTCTTCAGTTCTCCCTTAGAGGCTTATAAACATTAACCACCCAGAGGCTACTGATTCAGATAAGCTGCTATAAATTGACACTGCATGTAAATGAGCTATCGTGCTGTGTTGTGGTGATTAATGTAACTGTAATGGCACACATTATCTCCTAAAGTTATGATAACCTGGGGAAATCACTTAAAGATAACCTGTTCTGTCTGTTCTCCTCAGGAGGAGGATATCTGCATTTTGGCTCCACATAGCTTATCTTTGCTCCTAATGCAAACCAGAAAATTAAAGAGAGCAGACTGCATACTAGGACCATATTCTAGCTTGCATTGCATTTACTTCTGCATGTTAATTTTCTTATGCAAAACTCCTGCTTTTGAGTTGCCTTGAGACTGGCATTTTTTAATAGGCACTCTCCAGAGATCATACTAATTCTGTCCCAAGCTCAAGATCCAGGTGTCTGTGCTGGAACTTAGCTAATTGTTGCTGAACCTCTCATACTTCTGTCGTGCTGGTAAGGCCCTGGCACTAACTGCTTGAGGCTTGGTTTGACTTAAATTAAGTCTTACAGGAATTTGTCTTTGTTTAGCTCTTCATTCTGAAAGTATGTACTTTCCCTTGCAGGTTTTACTTGTGCCATAATTCAGTATTTGTTCCAGTTTCTAAACAAAACAGCTGATGAGTGATCTGTAGGTACAAGTTTTAATAATACACGTAGAGTTAAATTTGCAGAAAATTCTTTCTTGTTTCAAATGAGATTTAAAGCAGAAAAGGGGAAAAAAAGCTGCCTTTGATTTTCTTAGTTTCTTATTTTGATCCAAATCGTGAGAGAGCTGGGATTTTTGACTGTGAAGCATTACCAAAAAATGCTTGAGTAAGTATTTTAGAATCCCAAATCTTTGGATTCAAGGTACTTTTCCCACTTTTTACTTGGGAATCCTTTGGGCTGTCTCTTCTACCATAGAAACTCTGTCTTGCTAATTGTGATCACTCCTCCTCTCCCTGCATTTTCATATCAGGGATAGTAGAAGGAGGAGCTGAGGAATCCTTGAGGAAAGACAAACTGTAACATGTATGTATTCCTGGAATAGTTATTTGACCTCTCATGAGATTAGAAATGTCTCTTCATGAAAGGGCTCTTGAGAGAAGTGAAGGAGCTGGGGAAGAGGCAGGAGAAGGGAGAAGATCTTTTCCTAGTGAGTGCTGGCAGTCACTCTGTGCTGTGCACAGGGCAGGAGGAGCTCATGCCCATCTGCAGGGAGTGCTGAGCTCTCCAGGCTGAAAGCAGCGCTGAGCTTTACAGAGAGGGGCTCCTGTGGAGCCTGCAGGACTGGAGCTGCAGTGGCACACACCCTCTTGTGGCAGGAAGGGACAAGTCCCAGCACAAACCAGCGTGGCCTCTTGTTTTCTGTGCTCCCTGGTTTGCCTTGCTCGCTCTTTTGTGTTCAGTGAACATCCCTCACTCGGGTGCACCACCTGTGCTTTCCTGCACTTGCCTCTTTCATCTTTCTGTTCTTGCAGTGCCTGAATCTGTTCTGTCTTGCAAATTCTTAAAACTTCACCCTATTTAAATCTGGTTTTATCAGTATTTGGATAGTATTTAAACTGTGGACTTCAAAGTGCCCTTCTCACTAAGTTGCCAACATACTGAAAATACTCCTTACAGACTAAAACATTTACAGGAACAGAAAGGCTGGAAAAATAACCAAGGGTGCTGAAGAACATACTAGTTTTGTGTCTTAAATAGCTTAGTTTGTCTGAACTACTATGAAGGGGTCATGTATAGATTAGGGGATAACATGCTGCTTTTCCCAGCTGTTTGATTAACCAGCTTAGGGCTGGGTCAGATGCGCAGGAGCAGGGCAGGGAAGGCACATCATCACCTTCCAAGTGCAGAGGGGCCCTCCAGCATGTTTGCAGTTATCAGATTTGCTGCATAATAAGCTGTACGCTCCATTCAGCACTCTAATTAACTCAGGAAAGCTCTCTGGCTCAGTCTGTGCTGATAGCATGAACCTCACAAAGCCAGGCAGTCTCACCAAAGTACCTCTAAATAAGATTAAGCAAAGCGAGCCAGCCATGAAATAAAATGTAGGCTAAGTGTCGAGCAAATACTCTTATTTGCTTTCATTTAGTACCAAGTTCTGCACTTGGCATGAGGTGTCCAAGCATTTAATGTGTGAGTAGCACTGGCAACTCCTAGCAAGTGCTGACAGATGAGACCTTAATCATTAATGTTTCTCTGTAGAGACAAAAATAACCAAATGCTGTATGACAACACTTACAAACACGAGTTGATGGTATTTCCTACAACTCCTAAGCAGTCCTGGCTCCCACTGATCCCATCAGGATTGGGAATTACATGTTGGTGGAACATGGTGGCAGACTGGGTAATGCTGGGATGTCAGAGGAAAGGAGAAAAGCCAAGGCTGGTGGCAGGTTTGTGAAGTGTCAGGTTCCTTAGCCCTGTGCTGCTGCTAAGGATCCTTGTCAGACAGCAGGAAAAAGAAACAATGTCAGTGATGAGTGATGGAGGATGGAGCAGGTACAGACATACAGGGTCCTGAATCCATGACCTGTTTGCAGAATGGATCTCATCCTCCTTTCTTTGCCTTTTCAGGTATCTTGCAATATCTTCAGAACTCTCCCACCTAGTGACAGCAATGAATTTGATCCAGAAGAAGATGAGCCCACCTTGGAGGCATCGTGGCCGCACTTACAGGTTTTTGATTATTTACCTCAGAAGAAATTCTTGTCATTGCTTGATGTATCTAATAATTTTCTCAGCTTTTTTTTAACCTGTGAATCAGAACGAGTCTGTGAGACACTAACATTTATTAATACTGTTTATGATTCTAATATAGTACCTACAGAGAAAGAAGAGAACTTTGTGATATTTCCAAAATGTTAAAGCTTTCTTTCAAAATGATATGGATGGTGTCCCTCATATTCCTGTTTTCCTTCACTGATTTAAAAATTATTTTGCTTTCCCAACTGCTTTGATGCACAAGTATTTTTCAACAACTGCAGCAAGAGCATTGTGAGGATGACACTGCTGGCAGTTTTGCTTTATTGAGGGTGGTTAATATTCATAGGAAAGTGCACAGGTGTTGGCAGCTGATCAGAAAAAATGAATGAGAAGCTGCATCCCTATCTAAGTCCTCCTTCCTCTCCTCAAGGTTTGCTCCCAGATGTTTGGAGCAGGAATTAAGCTCGCTCAGTAGCATCCCTTTCTCTGAATTTCAGTTGTCAAAACAAGCGATTTTGAGACCCCCATGTGGAATAACACTGCATCCAGGTCTGGGGTTACTACCACAAAAAAATTGTGGGCCTGTAGGAGTGGGTCCAGAGAGCAGGGTGCAGAGATGATCAGAGGGCTGGAGCACCTGTCCTGTGAGCACAGGCTGAGAGAGCAGGGATTGTTCATCCAGGGAAGCCCCATTGCAGCCTTCCTGTACTTGAAAGAGAGATTGTAAAACAACAAGGGAGAGAGTGGCTTTTTACATGGTCAGATGGTGACAGGACAAGGAGAGATTCAGATTGCACTTTATTAACAAGTTCTTGGAGGGCCTGGCACAGAGGGTGCCAGAGAAGCTGTGGCTGCTCCATCTCTGGGAGTGTTGAAGGCCAGGTTGGATGAGCAGCCTTGTCTTGGGAATGCTGTCCCTGCCCATGGCAGGGAGGGTGAAATGAGGTGATCTTCAGTGTCCTTTCCAACCCAAACCATTCCATTGTTCTGCAATTTTCAGTGAAGAACATAAACTAAACTGGAGAAAGTACTTGATACTAATGCAGTAAATTCCTTTATAGAAAATATAGATGAAGATGCTGTGTGTGTTAGTCAGGATAATGACTCACACCACTGGTAAATTTACAGGAAGTTTGCTTGAGTAACAGTTTGTGGAGTTTGGGAGTTTTTGTGAGCAAAGAAGCAGAATTGATCTCAGCCTGAAAGGAGGATTCTGTTTTACAGTTGCATGCACAATCCTGTGAGGGTTTTTTTTCACTCTTTTGTGCTCTCTAATTCAGAATCTGTTGAAATGTAGGTTCATCCCTCATTTATATTTAAATTTCACAAAAAATAAGAATCTTCAAAACTTCAAGGCAACTCTGAGGAGCTGTGCCTGCCTGGAAACAGCACATTCAGTGACACTGGTGCTGTAGTTCAAAAAGTCATTACTTGCATGGAAATGAGGGAATTTCTTATCCAGTGGATGACTTAGCATTGTCAAGAAGAAATTCACCAAAGTATTTGTGAAAAGTCAATGGAATTGATTTCCTGATGATTTAATGTTGGTGTTATGTAAGCTGTCACTTTTCCCACAACTTACTTCTAAACCTCTCTCCTTCTTTTTGATTTTCTATTGCTTCCTTTGAGAAGTCAGAGAACACACTTAAAAAGTACCAGCAGCAGTTTTGCAACGTATTTCTGTCATGGAAAAATTTAAAATTATTTTAAAATGTAATTTTTAAGCTTCCTTTCTCCTTTCAGTATCAATATTCGTACTGACTAAAGACAAAAGGGAAGAAGTTTTCAGTGGCTGCTCTTTATGAAAAGGTTCTGCAAAGAGAATGGCTGGCTGGTAGCTCATTATCAGTGACAGATCAGAGTTGCTGTCTTATGAGGCCACAGCAGTCTCTGTTTCACTTCACTTCCTTGTTCCCTGCTTTTTATACTCTTCTTTTTCTCCACTAAATGAAAAGTCTTGCATGTCCCACTGAAGAGTTTAGGTAGAGATGGAATTGCATGAAAATAAGCAGATTTTCTCCAGCCCTGAGGCTAATCTTTACAGTAAGTTAGGAACTTCTGAATAAATTCTGGTTTGTATTCTTCTTCTGTGTTTCAAGTTGTACTAGAGCACTACTCTAAGCAGTTTCTAATTTAATTTAAATATTTCCAACTGTTTCACCAACCCCTTCAGAATTGTAATGTCTGTATTTGATGTGACTTCAGCAGTTCAGAGGGCAGTTTAAATGTGCTTCCCAATTACTCTGGGAAGCTTTACAAGATGATAACAAGCATTACAAGATGGCAGTGCCTGTTCTTGGTGATGAAATGTCTTTGACTGGAGTTAAATAAGCAGAGGCAGCTTAAAAAGCTCATGTAATTAATTTTAACTAAAAGGTGGTAACTTAATAAAGGAGAAAAATCTTTTCTGTTTTTTTAACCCTTTGTACTGGGGAAAAATAAGCACTTAATCTTTAATAATTTAGGGAAATACTAAAAATATAAAGAGTAATCAAGTCATAAATTAAACCCATGTTTTGTTTATTTTTTCTGTTGCAGCTTGTATATGAGTTTTTCATACGATTTTTGGAAAGCCAAGAATTTCAGCCCAGCATTGCCAAAAAGTACATAGATCAGAAATTTGTATTGCAGGTAAGCTGGTGTGTTTTCTTTAAGGCTTAGTGCTGCTTTTGGGGAAAAAAAAATCCTTTAAAAAGATTTAGTTTAGAATTTGAAAGTGTAACTTCATTTGCAACAGAAAAATGCTAAACCAGCATCTACAATGAAAGTTTTCAATCTATGGAGGAAATGGAAAAAGGTGTGTGTGTTTATATGTTAGTCTCTGTTACTATAGATACATAAAATAGATAGCTTGGATCCAGTTTCAGTACCTCAGTCAAAATATTTGACTTTCTGGTTTTGAGACAGAGCTGAAACAGTAATTGTTGAAAAATGAAAAGTTTCCCACCAAGTAGTCTCAGAATGCTGTTCTCTCGATCTAGAGACTACTTAAACACCAGTTTTAATGTGCCTTAGTATTGTTTATACTTCTGCTTTCCGGGTAAGCCAGGACACTCCACAGATACATTTTTTGTCTTCAAATTTGAGAACAGGCCTGACTTGGGTTTTGTTTTCCCTTTGTGAGTTTTTCTGTAACTGCACAGTCAAAAAGAACTTTGTGCTTGATGCTGTCTGTAGCTTGCTTGTGAAAATCAGGGGAATTTAGAAGGATTGCTGTTTAGTTAGAAAATGGAGTTTCCTTGCAGGCTGTCACTTGAATGGAAAAGCAGCTTGGAGTTGGCAGGAGAGACTCAGCATTTCTGAAGATCTTTCTCTTGCCCCTTATCACTCATGGAGCTTTTATTTTTCCCTGTACTGCTCAGGCAATAAAAGTTGTGCTTTTACTGTTCATCTGTGTTGTCTGGATGAAGAATACCTGAAAAATGTAGTGAACAGAGCAATTTCTGTCCTTACATTCAAAGTTTCAAAGAAGATAATTCAGTTTCTTTCTTGATATCACAAGACCTTCTTCATCCTACAAAAGCAATAGGATATACTTAAATTTTTCCTTTATCCTTCTCCTAAACACAAGAGCATTTTTCTTTTGGATCAAACCTCTGGTGCTTTCCTTTTTGTTCATCTCAGTAGTGATTTGACAAGAAGATTCACCAATGTGTTCATCCAGTACCTGGTGGAGATAAAAGAACATGCATGACAAATCACTCCTGACAGGTTTTTTCTGGCTGGTTTTGGTTTGATTAGATAGAGCAGGATTGCATTAGGATGAATACATGTGCTCTCCTTCAAAATCTAGTAAAAATAATTCTTAGATGCTCCTGTTCTGTGCTGCTTGGTCATGACTGGCAACATCCCACTCAACCTTTTCAAGACATTCAAAACTGTCAGTTTGGCACAGAAGAATGGGTCTAAACCAAGGATTTTTAATTTTTTTTTTTAAATCTTGCTAGTTTTCATTAAATCTACTAAATGGAAGAATATTATCTACTGAAAGAGGGGAATATGAGATTTTAAAACCTACATATCAGAAAACATGATATGACAATTAAAAGGGCAAAGGAGTTCTGATGATCCCTATGTTCTTATGGGGTTTGGTGATGCACATTTTTATATTGCTGTGCACAGTGTCAATTTAAAATACACATTTTTCTAGAAAAAGTTCTATTCAGACATACATAGACACACATATGCACACTACATATAAGTAGTTATATTTCCATGTGTGTAAATACTTTGTGGTGAGCTGTAGGAAATTGGGGTGTCCTTCCACTTCTTGTTGTGTTTGTTGTGTGTCAGGGGTAACTTCTGGGTACCTGCAGATCCCTTACACAGGACAGCAATTTGAGACTTAAGAACATGAAGCATTTTGGTGTCTTGTGACACTGACAACACAAATGGGACTTTTGGAGTATTTGAAATCAGCTTTTTCTCAAAATTAATTTTTTTAAAATTTTAATGATGTGTTTCTTGGCAGTAAGGATGCCTGTATAAAAAAAAAGGAAAATGTTAATTTTTTAATGGACTTTTTTCAAACTTTTTGCTTGTTTACTTGCTTTTTGCTTTCTTTTATTAAGTATAGCTGTGTTTCTGGCTTTCAGCTGTATGTTTTAATAAAATACTGTATTTACCAGTGTAGCTGTTCATTTCTAAAGCCTGCTTATGTACAGTTTGAAATGGTTGGCAGTGGTTGCTAAGAGACATACTATTCAAATATATCCACAAGTCTCTGTTATGTAGGTTGCTATTTTGGAAAATTAATTTCCCTTTTCTATGTATGTTTAGAATAGTCAAAATAAATTATGGAAGTCCTGCTGCTAATTCATAAAAATAAGACTTTATTGTTGAAACCTGAAAACCAATTGGACATAGCAAAATAACAGTCTTATTATTTTTTTTTTTTTAATGAGAGACTTAGTTTAGCAATGTTTCCAGATAGGATCTGCATAAGAGAACTGGAAATATAAATACTTTTCAATCCAGTAAGAAAACAAAAACCATAAGTGCTTCCAGCTGTTTGCTGTCTTAGGCTGAAATGTTCTATTTGGGGAAGGATGAGGTGACTATTTATTTATTTAAATCCAGAGCTAATTGAGGAGAGCAATGTGTTTATAACCTCTGGAGGGCAGCTGACAAACCTCACACTGCCCTCATGAAATCCCCACCACTGCAAAGATGATACAGTGAGGTCTCACTGCAAGCTGCAGAAATGTTCCAAACAATGAGGAAGAATGTGTGCATCACACATTCTTGTGAATGGGTGTTAGAAAGCAAGACCCCAGACAGCCTAACAAATTTAAATCATATTTTTTCTTATCTTTTTCACCTCCTCAGAGTTATATAGTAGTTTAACAGGGATCAGGTGTAGCATGCATACACTGACATATCTACTTGCAATAGCTATTTATAATTTATCTGTTTGTGAATCTAAGATAATTTTGTTTTCTGCCACTCCTGTAATGATTTTCTGACAGCATCTTACCCATTTGTAAGACCTGTTTGACAATCTATTTCTCTTGCAAGACAGGTACTGATTCACAGTTAATTTTTTTCATGCAAGACAGATACTGGTTGTCTATGATTACTAAAAATTACCTAAAATTCCCTGATTTCTGCATATTTGTGGCAGTTGGTTGTACTTTTTGCTTTAAAGTTTACCTCTGCATTTATTCCAAACATCCACCAGAATACCCAATGTTGTGGTGTCACAAAAAAAATGAAGAGGGTGAAAGAGCTCATACTCTTGTGGCAGAGGATTCAAGGGGAATAAAACAAAGAGCTGCAGGTGATTTTCCTGCTGCTCATTTCACGCAGCTTCAGGTGTCAGTGTTTGGGATACATTTTGTACAATTCCATACTAAAACATCGTCTTTCTTGGCTAAGTCTCACATAACCATTTAGGATCTACTTAGTAAACATGGGTTTTCTATTGTTTTTTTTTTCTTTATTCATTGTTTTGGTTTTTTTTAATTGGCATTGATAATGAAATCGCCATTTTGTTCAAAGTGAAGGATTAATTCCTTGTGATGCTTTTGACTTGTGGCAATTGGTGGAGATCCCAGAGCAGCAGATCCAGTCCTGGCATGGACTTCCCTGTTGAGTTTTTCCACAGCATGAGGGCCTTGCAATCACTAGGAAAGCTTAAGAGCTCTTCATATGAATGGCAAGCAATTAGAAAAATGTGACCTTGACACAACCTTGTGAGAATAAAGTGTTAGAGCAAATGAGGAGCTTCTGGTTCTGTAGAGTCAGGGAATGGTGGATGGTAAAAGGCAAACTGCCTTATCATATTTATTTTTGGGGAGAAGATGGGCAGCAATTTGGAGCTAGTAATCACAAATTTATTATTCTGATTTTGTGATGTTATACTGAAGTGACAGCAGGTTTTTTTAATACTGGATATCTACTCCTGGAGTACCATGGATGTCACATTCTTTGACTCATGTGTTTCCATGAATTCAGTTTGATACAGAAGTCTGTTGTGTCCTGCTTGTCAAGTGTCTCCTGTTTCAGTTCTCTTTTTCCTTTAAACACAGCTGTTGGAGCTGTTTGACAGTGAAGACCCTCGGGAACGAGACTACCTAAAAACAGTCTTGCACAGAATTTATGGCAAGTTCCTGGGCCTTAGAGCATTTATCCGAAAACAGATTAATAATATTTTTCTACGGTAAGTTGTGGAAGGAGGAGCTTTTCACTTATGAACCCTTTAGGAAACTGATATATTGCTTATATTTAACTTTTCTTTTTTTAGATTTGTTTATGAAACTGAACACTTCAATGGCGTAGCTGAGCTGTTGGAGATTTTAGGAAGGTAAAGGAGTCTTTATTTATTATCTAACTCAGACTTCCCTTTGGACACGTCAGGGTAGTGTCAGATTTGGAAAAAGTATTATGATAATCCCTGACTCTGCAAACAGATGTGTGCACATGCTCATCTTTAAGCCCATGTGCAAATCTCTGTCACATCTTTGCCAAGAATATCTAACTACAAGTTCCAGCCAAAGTGTTGGGTTGATTTTGTGTGTGTGAGTCCATTAAACACTGCACACTTCATCCTTACATGCTGGAGGATTATTTTCTTCTGAGCACACTTAGCAGAGGGGATGTTTTGAGTGAATCTAATTTTGGTGCGTTAATTACTCAAGACCACCTTGCTCAGATGAATTTACAGACCACATAGACAGGTCTTCTCTGTTTGGAGCAGGTTTGTGCAGCTGTTTATGTGATTATTCCTAATGGGAGCTGGATTGCTACCTGGATATGTAGTGCCCTGCTAATACAAATTAATACTGTTTATAAAGCAGGGCCAAAAGCAGGACCAAAGTCTGCAGCTGTTTACAAGTGCTGTTTGTAAACAGCTGCTGACTGCTAAATATATTTTAATCTAGAAAGTGCTTGTTCAGACCTCAGTAATGCTATCTGTGATGATGACACTAACAAATATTTCTTTTCTCATTTCCAGTATTATCAATGGTTTTGCTTTACCTCTCAAGGCAGAGCATAAACAGTTTCTGGTGAAGGTGCTGATCCCTTTACACACAGTCAGGAGTTTATCACTCTTCCATGCACAGGTAGAAATTACGAAAATATTTGCTGTTCAGTAAGAATTATATGTATATTTTTAAAGGTTGCTTTGTAAATTTAATTACATGCACATAAAAAGGGGGAGAGGAATTCTAAATGTGGAAAAAAATACAATTGATTTTTTTCAAAATTAGTTCAGTATCTCTTGTATGAGAAATATCTAGCTGCTGTTCTGATTAGGTAATTAAAAACATAACATAAATCTGTAATAGTTTGGAAATTTTATTTGGTAGTTAGCTCTATCTCAAGGTTTTCCTCTCTGCTCTTTTCTCATTCTCACAAGTTTGCCTTTCCCATTCTCTCTCCCAAGAGGATTTTTGGGTTTCCTTAGTCTTGTCCTGTCAAGGCTGTTCTTCACCCTGGCAACCTTCTGAATACTAATACCCACATTTTTTCATATAATATTCTCCCTCACAGTTTCCTTAATACTGCATTTATGTTCTCATACATCTTTTTATACCTTCAGCTTTCATGATGTAATTTTTCCTCTGATAGCTGCTACCAGTTGCCTTTCTCTCTCATTCTCAGAAAGTGAAAATGTTCACTATTTCTTTTGGTGACAAAGTTCTGTTTCTAAGTATGTTATTCCAGGTTTTAGCTGTGTCGACTCATCTTGCAAGAATTCTCATGATTTTGCTGTATAAAATTAGTAAAAAGTTGCACTTTAAGAGAATAGCAGAAGCTTCAAAACATTTCTTGTATAACTATATTTAGAATTCAAAGTTGTTCTGATTTTTATTTTATATGCTACTTTGTCACTCTAATTGTTCTTGTGTAGAACAATTGTTTCGTATAAACTCATTTCTTATAAACTGACTTTTGAATGGATTTGCACAGTGCAAACTGCATCTTAGTCTAAAATTGGATGTAGTGTGAGAGAGCTGAATAGCATCTTGCCTTAAGTTTTTATTTTTAAAAATGTTGAGGTTTTGTGGTTTCTTTATAGAAATGTTCTAATTTAATTTTGTTTTTGTAAATTGTTACCTCTTCACAGCTGGCGTATTGCATAGTACAGTTTCTGGAGAAGGACCCCTCACTCACAGAACCAGTAAATATTTCTTTCATACTTTTTTTTCATAATGCATGGTTTACTCTGTAGAGAGAAAAGTAAAAAATCTAACTTCTTTTTCCTTCTAATTTAGGTCATTAGAGGTTTAATGAAATTCTGGCCAAAAACCTGCAGTCAGAAAGAGGTAAGAGATATGCTGATATTACAAAGAAAAAGAAAGTTATTTTGCTCTAAAACATAATAAGCAGAGAATCTTTAAATAATTTGAGGTCAATAGCACATTCTGTGGTGAATCTTGGTATTATTTCTTGTAGATGATTTTTCAGTACTTTAATTCTATTTTTTTAAACAGTTTTGACTGTGCAAAGTTTGATAAGTCTGGTTCCTATTCACAAAATAGTTCCTGGTTCTGCTGCAGAGAGTTTTTTAGAAAGGAGAAAATAAACATAATTAAGGATAGGTTGGAAAACTCTGTTAGATTTGGAATTGTTTCTGTATGAAGACAGTATTTTTCCAGTGAGGATGAAAGATACTTTATGTGGTGTTTACCTACTAAACACATAAAAGATGCAGTTAAATATGTGCATTTTTGTTTCAGATGCAAATTAGAGTTTCCCTAGTGAGGTTTTGTGAAACAGCAAAACTGTTATTTTCAGTGTTGCTCTCGAAAATGGGGTAAAATTATGAGAATCTCCTTAGTTACTGAAGTTGGAGCCTTTGTTCAGATCTTTGTGTGATACAAGATTTTCAGCATGGCTGTTTATCCTGGTGCAATTCTGAATTTCATTCAAAATACTTCAAATGCAGCACTTGAAGAAACTTGTCCTTGTTTTAAGGGACTGAGTCCAAAAGCTGCCAGTGGAGAACTGATGACATTTTTTGAGACAGGGTCTCACTGAGCTGAGTGAGGTTTCCATTTCTTCCTGAAGCAGTAGAATTTGGAGGTTACCATCATTCTGCAGAACAAGATGATTTGGAGGTTTTATATTCAATGCTTTCTTTTTTGTCTTTAGGTCATGTTCCTAGGAGAGCTGGAGGAAATCTTGGATGTAATTGAACCATCACAATTTGTCAAAATCCAGGAACCCTTGTTTAAACAAATTGCCAAGTGTGTCTCTAGCCCTCATTTTCAGGTCAGTGGTAAAGGTTATTGTTCATATGGGAATGTATAGTCTCAGTTTCAAACATAACTCCCCTCAAATGTAAATATTATTCTATGTTATGTTTTTAAGTACTTGTCCTCTGTGGAAGAGGATTATGTTGGGGTGGAAGGTTAGGTCTGAGCTCCATTAATAACTTGCTGGAGGTGTTTGGGGTTACAGCTCAGAGCTTGTCCTTCTGAGCCCCTCACAAATCCTTAACCTGTGTCCAAGCAGGCTTTGAGCCCTCTCACTGAGGGTGGCAGGTGCTGGCCCCATAGGCCCTGGAGGATGGATTTGCTCCCTGGTTTTGGTGCAGTTCCTGTTTTCTGGCTTGATTCCTTCTAACCATGTACCCACGTGTCTGGTTAGAGGTGACACAAACTGTGTAGCCTGTTTTAATCACATTGTGTAATGGGAGGAAGGGGAATGGATGGGATGTAAATGGATATGTGAAGAGGATATAGAGTTCATGGCCTGTAGTGTCTCCATATTAAGCCTGGTGATCTGTCCTGGCACAAAGACAGATGTGACTTTTCCAGCTCTTCTTTGGACTTCATCCTTTTTTAAATCATAATTCAGATCAGCATCCTCCTTCTCCAGGGTAATTGCTGTCCTTGGTTCCTTCCCCACACTGAAGATTTCTCCTCCCTTATCCAGCCCAGCTCCTGGGCCTTTCCCTGTCTCTTTCCTCTGGTATCCCAGCGCTGCTGGGTTTTTTCCAACTGCACTCTTCCTGATTTTGAGGGAAAGGGTGATGGGAAGTCTGTCTGCTCTTCCTTCCCCTCCTCAACTGATGCTGTGTCTGCACCCAGTCTTCAGTGAGCAATAACACATTGCTCAGGCAACAGAGAGTGGGTGCTGTGGGATCAGAACTACAGGATAGAAATTAATTCCATTAATGCATGTTATGCTACTGATTAGAGTAGTTGAATTCCAAATCTAATGGCTCCTGTTAGCCCATCTTTGTGGAGTTTCTCTGTGATTTGTTTTTCTATCAGAAAATCACAAAATTACAGCTATCTGAATTCCTGTTCCTGTTTTATTTCTTTCACTCAAAGGTGGCTGAAAGAGCGCTGTATTATTGGAATAATGAATACATCATGAGTTTGATAGAGGAGAACTCAAATGTTATACTTCCCATCATGTTTTCCAGCCTTTACAGGATTTCTAAAGAGCACTGGAATCCGTAAGTTTGTGCATTAACACTTTATCTTTCAGCATTTGACTTCCCACTAATAAACTCAGGGAGTGTCTGCTGCAGAACATGTGAATGGGAGAGATGCAGACTCAAAGCTGCTCTGAGCAAGTGCAGCTCTGTTAATGACAATATGTATTAGTCTGCACTTGAGCTTGTCTCAGTGTTTTTAATTAACTGGTATGTGTACAAAAATCACTACTTTGTAGGATAAAAATAGGCCTTCTCACAAGCTGGAAAAAAGAAGAAATTAAATGTTACATTGTTATTGAAGGACAAATGTTGCTCATCAAGTGTTTCTCCTACGCAGTTTTTTTATAAACGGGTTGGCTCTTAAGCCTGATTCTAAATTGTCTAGAAGAATATCTGTTGGCATTAATAAAGCTTTGTGGCTGTATCATCAACTGATACCTCTGGGAGACTTTTGGTGTTGGCATTTTTTTAAACATCCATGAAACAAACAGACAGTATATTCTTTGGTTGGGTTTTTCTTTCTACATTTATTTAAATACAGCTGTTTTCTATGACAATAATTAAGCAGTTACTTAGCATTGATATTGTGATAATTAGGCAATTTTATTTTAAACTGAATGGCCTAGTAAAAAGTGTTTTTATGAAAAATTGTATTGCAGGAAGATGACATACATCCTTTGTTTTAGTTGGAAAGTTTTTTTAAGTCAAGATGATTAGCATTTAGTAAAGCCAGTATTTTTAATGAGCTGTGCTATGTTCAGGTTGCTTTGAGACCTTACTGTAAAGTGTTTCATCTTTTCAAACATTGGTCTTCTTTTTCTGTACTAGTCAAACTCTCAAGGTTGTGTGCTTACATGACAAATCTAATGCTGCTGGAAAGCCTCTGTAACTTAACACTGGTCACAAAAAGACACTTTCCAGTCTCAAACCTTTTAATGCACTGAGATGCTTCTGGTAATGAGAATATTTCAGTATCCCAATTCATAGAGTTTTCATACCCATAGTAATTTTGTTGTACGAGCCAGGTAATGACACATCTAAAATAAAGGAGCTATTTAAAGATTTTTTATATTTAAAAGAAATTTTTTCACGTAGGCAACAAAAATGAAAGTTTATTTAAAGAGATGAGAGAGACAGGGGTGCGTGGGAAATGGCACATGGTTTGTGTGTCCTGCAAGGATTAGCTCCAAAGGTTCCTGGCACTTGTGCTGTTGATTCACTGCCTCCTGGCTGAGGAGCTGCTTCTTAAGCAGCCCTGGGTCTGAATATGACAGCCAGAGTAGTGGATCAGGAACTGTGAAAGGGAAAATGAATAAGAACTGCATGAGCACAAGGAAATCACTCTTGAAATACAGCTTTGTATTTTGCATAGATGGAGTGAATATTCAGCGTCATAGAAGAGTCATAAGGAAATATGAATCACTTTCATTTTGTGTTTGAATTCTATTCCTTGTGCCAGCATTGATGATTTGAATCTCTGAAGTTGCATTCAGAATTGCTCCACAGCATGAGGGAAGAGACTGTAGTTATGTGTAATAGCTTTCTGTTGTTGCCTTTCACCCTAGTTTTGGCCTGCTCCATTTCAGTAGTCAGTAGGGACATGAAAGCCCGTTCTCACCTTTAAGTATGTTAATCCAAAGTAGTTTCAGTGCAATCGAAGAATTTACATAACCATGCTTGCAGGAACAGAATTGGTCATAGAAAGGCTGCGAAGAGAAGACACTTTTTATTTCACGTTTGATTTCACCTGAAACTAATGGATTCCTTTCTTTCTTCTCTTTCCATGTTTCACAGGGCTATTGTGGCTTTAGTCTACAATGTGTTGAAGGCATTTATGGAAATGAACAGCACCATGTTTGACGAGCTGACAGCCACTTACAAGTCAGATCGTCAGCGGTAACTTTTTAAAGCTTTTTTTTGTCAGCTGTGCACATGGCCTGCAGTTTAGTTTTCCCCTTACACTCAGGTGCAGTTGCAGAATCTCAGACATTATAAACACTGCCCCATTTTTGCCTTTGCCTGCTTGTTGGGCTTCTCATTGCAGGATGTGAGATTGTGTGCAGGTTGTTCTCTAGGCTTTATTAAATACAGTATCCACTGCATGGCTTGGGAATCCACATTCCTTGGCAATTCCTTTTTGACTCCACATTCCAAAACACTTAAGTGTGTCAAGATCTTCAATGACAAAAAGAAAACGGGTTGAAAGGTAACACTTTACTTAAAGACTTAAAAAAAAAAAAAAGTTGCACTGAGGTGTGGAAAGAGACATGAGGGAAACCTCTAAAATTTGATTTTCCAAGCTGCTGTTTGTTGGCTCTTAAAGCAAAGAGACATCTCTCAGCTTTTTTGTTTCTTATTCAGAGGTCCTGCTGTATCTGAGTCTTTCAGCATGCAGGATCCATTCAATACACCACTCATAGAGGCATTAGTTCAGCTCCAGTGCCTTCCTGTCTTTTCTGCCATTTTCCCTAATCTTTATTTCTCCATTACAGTGCAGCATCTTTTCTCAAAAGTTTCACCGTATGCAAAGATTAGGTGAAAAAAATGAGCAAATTTCAGGAACTTTGAACAGGCTGCAGCTTCATTTCAGCCATACTTTGGCTGTGACTCAGGGTTCCCCCAGGCAATGCAAAGGGCACTGCATGTCAGCAGAGGTTTTTAGGGTAGTCCAACCTTGAAAGTCTCTTGGCTGCTGTAGTTTTTTGGCTTGTGTGACTGGAGTCACTGGCCTTTTATTCCTCTTTGTTTTATAGCCCAAAAAATCTGCACATAACAGGCTAGTTCATTGATATGATATTTTACTTCTAGAGACTTTAGGGATAGATTTGAACTAAGAAGCCAGATATTCTTGACATGTATTGATAAATAGGTGCCAGTCATGAAGTGCAGTTGAGACAAACTCTGTGGTTTCCTAGCAAAAAGGCAGAGAGTTTTAGGACTGATATCTAGTCCAGATGTTCACTGAGGCAGCTTGGTGACCTGAATCCATTTGTGGCTGCACTTTGCCCTTTAAGATGAGGAATTCTGCTCTGAACAGCACCAGACACTGCAGTGGTGTGTCCCACATCTGGATAATGGGGGAACTTTGGTGGCTGAACTGCACAAAGAATTTCTTTTGCACCTGCTGACATTGTTCCTCTTACCAAGGCTGGTGCCAACCATGTCACCATTTTTATTTGGTTCTTATCATTTTAAAATCTGAATGTATAAACCCAGGATATTTACCTTTAGGTTTTCAGAAAATCTTCAGCATCTTAATAAAACCACATTTTGGAAGGATAGCTTTGATACCACTTAAAGCTTGAGGAGAAATATGTTCAATATTAATGGCTAGGACAGGTCAAATAGATGAGTTGGATGAGGTGATCATCCTCTAACAGACCTTTAGGTAAGCAGGCATGTATTTCCTAATGATTAGAAGATAAATATTGGTAAGTAGCCTGAAAATATAAGGCTATTTCACTTATTCTTATATTTAATTTTAAATACTCTCCAGTAACAATAAGGCTCTTTTTTTTCCTTTACTGTTCTTCAGGGATTTATCTGAAAGTTGTATTTTTTTTATATGTTTAAAATCCTCTTGGGAAATCAGAATTCCCAACAAATGAACCAGATGTTGGTATGTTGAGTGAATCAAAGTGTGTAGGAATGGTTCTATTCCCTTGAAATACTTCTCAAGACTTCTCTAATGTGACTGGCAGAGAATCTGTGTATCTGTCATTGTTAGATTTCCATTTCATCTAAACCTGCAAGGTGATGTCATAGAACTTGAGAGCATTTTGTGCCTTGCAGTCTCAAGGAGATTTATTCACAGTAAGCTGAGGCAGAGACAGGAAATTTAGAAAGCAAACAATGCAGGTAAAGTAAATGTTAGGTTTGCTGTTTAATTTTCTCAAATCAGCCACTAAAGTCTGTTTTTAAAGCAAATGCTACACAGATCTTGTAGGAATTTGGTGTGGAAAAAGAGAACTCACTGCACAAAAGGCAAATCTTTTAGGTTGAACTTTGCCTTGGTTGGTGCCTAAGCTATAGCGAAGCCAGCAGTCAATGTAAGTAAAAATAGTGATTCTAAAAGAATCAAGGAATGCTTTCTAGAAAGTTGCTGTGATTTAAAAGATTATTTATATCTTAAATAAATAAACATGAAAATAATTACATAACTTAGTCCAAAATGTTAATTTTTATAATTTTGGACAGATCAGTTCTGTAGTAAAAGTCCACTGCATTTTTTAATTCCTCATTGCAAATTAGTGTCTATGAATACTGTCACTTTGCTCAGCTTACATTTTATGCTCTTCCCATACTGCTTTGTTTAGTTAAATTTATGTAGGTAACAAAAAAAAAAGAAAATATTTTAAAAAAATTAAATATACATTAGGAAAATTGCAGTTGTGTTTACAAAAATTAGTGCAGCTATTTAATGTCAGCTATATATTTTTAACATAAATATTATTTATCTCCAGTCTTCTCTCCTGCTAACTCTTTGTTTTATTTCATCTGTCAGTGAGAAGAAGAAAGAGAAAGAGCGTGAAGAACTGTGGAAAAAACTGGAGGATTTGGAATTAAAGAGAGGTCTTAGACGTGATGGAATAATTCCAACTTAACAAAAATACAAAACAGCATTATTAACCTGTGGAGTCACACATTTATGTAGTAGAAGATGGAGCAACAGTTTTCTGTATTGTGCAACTTTACAGTAGATTTCACATTTGTTTCATTATTACAACAGCACTGTATATACCTGTCTCTAAGTAAAGGAAAAAAATAAGGACTTTAATCCAAAGTTTGGACAACAGATGGACTTCTCAGAACTTTGCAAACATAATCATTGTTTTAACCCTTCTTTAAAACCAGTCTTCAAAGATCTGTTGATGAAAATTGCAATGTCAGATTCCATTGTCAGGACCTGTTCCTTATTTATCGTTAGCAGAGAGTATAATACAACTTTCAAATGTGAACAATCTTAAAATTTAGCTTGTCTTTCTGCTAAACTGTTACGTGTATTTATAGTAAAAGAGAAAAAAAGACTGTCATTTCCTTATGAGTTTGTGTAACATCCTCCTTCTCTGGATAACTTTACTGTAATTTGACTTTCTTTTCTTTTTGCATATCTTCATAAGTTGAATGTCCATTCAGATCAGGGCCATGAAAAACATTGGTCCTGAATAAAAGTTTTGTTTACTGGTGTGAGCATTTTTTTAGTACCAGGCTGTCTCTGGTGCTTCCTTAATTTGAACATTAGGAATTAAAAAACGAGTAGGTGATAAACATAGTAGGAAAGGGAGCTTTGGATTCGTGCACCTATTTATTGCAAATCCAAATTAGTGTCCACAATCCATGGAAAAAAAAAAAAAAAAAGGGCAGTGGTAACACCCTGGACTTCAGTACCTAACCAGTATTAGTGATGCAGCATTGGACACATAAACCAGAGTTGATTTAGATACACCAATTGCTAAATTATTACAGTATGTTCTTATTGGACCATTCTGAAAAAGTAAAGACACATGCTAAACAACACAAGCATGAAATTGATATCCAGTGGTCATGGATCTAATTGGAAATTGAGTTGAGATAGCAGTTTGGACAGTTTGGAGTTGTTGCCTTACTTTTTAATATGTATTTATAAAGTGTTCCAGCAAAAGAGGATGTAGCCTCTAAGAAACATACTCTAGTGTTTTTGTGGTTCTAGTACTATTACTCATCACAGTACCAGCCCTATGATCTTAGCTGGAAAGGATTCTGGATAATACACTTCTGCATTCTCATCTGGATGCTCATTCCTAACTACTGTATTTGTTACCAAAAGTGGTTCTACAAATGCTACTGAAAAAAAAATTCTGGAAATCCTAATGTTCTGAGTATTAATAATAAAGTTTAAAATGCTTTTATATCAAAGGTGCATTGTGACCAAATTGTTTAAAACAAAAGAGGAAAAAAAAATACAAAAACAAAGAAGAGGGCTGTATTATAAGTATACATTATTGGCTATCTGCTTTGTATTTGAAAGTGGAATCTTACATCTTTGGTAGGTAAAATGCTGATAAGACTTCTGTACAGTATATATTTAGCTAATGCAGTTGCATTATTCTATACCGGAAGGTATGTGTTTCAGGATTTTTCTCCAGGATGCTTTTGAACTGTTATAGACATATGACAACAGTGAATTGATAATCCTAAACCATCAATCCAGCAGTATTTACAGTATAAAAATGAATTGGTGTTCATGAGTCTTTGTGATAGTTGCAAACATGAATTTATGACCTGTTGCCATTGATAGAAATACAGTATAAATACAAGCTTGTATATTTTTCTTCCTACCTTTAAATATACAGTAGGATTTGAAGTTTTCTTGTTTTCAGGCACGGAAAAAAAAAAAGTAAAAAAGAATTCCCTCCTAGACTACTGACTGTTTCAGGATTATCAGGTCACAGTTTGTACTCCTGGGTCTGCACACACTAATGTTGTAAACTCAAGGCTTTGTAAGAACTTGACACTGTTAATTCTGGAAAGAAAAAAAAAGTGGAACTAGTCATATGCAACACCAAACACAACATGATTTAATGGGATTACTATGAGCTTCTTTTAAGAACATTGACTGGGACTCAATGTAAATTAGGCAGTTACTGTCATAGTTGAAACATTTTATTTTAAAGTGCTGAAGCAAAGGTGCAAGCTGAAATACTGAAGATTAAATAAATTTATAACAAATCATGTCCCTTAGCCCATTGATTTTGACAGTCTTTTATTTCTGTTACCAAGAAAGCAAACTTGCTAGTGTGATTTCTGTGTGAAATGATCATTTCACAGTACAAGAGGGTGGACTCAAACTCATGCTCAAAGACTATGTTCCATTGTGAAAAACTGAGAAAGAACGGAGGAATAAAACTTGATGTTCTTCACCTGGTGGAGTAAAACACAACAATGTGAAATTAGAAAAAGCACCTTGTCCTGTACTTAGAGTTTAGGTGAGTGTTGTTTGTTCATAACTCTTTTTGGTTTTGCCATGTCATTCTACTCTTGATCATACAAAACTGACCAGACCCTGGTGGGTTGCAATATTTTGTGGCCTCTTCCGCGGGGACAGCGGGGAGTGTCTGACGTTCCTAGATGATTTGTCACTTCTGAGAAGGAATGTTCCTTCAAGGAGGAGGAGGTGATGGGCTGTTGCATGAAGTCTCTTGACTCTAAAGGCTGGGTGAAGCACCTGAAGATGCACCTGCAGCCAGGACCCCGCGTGTGTCGCAGCCCCAGCGCCGTGCCCGGCCCCGCAGGGCTGGAGCTGCAGCAGGAGGAAGAGGAAGGCAGCCCGTGGGCCCGAGTGTGATCAGTGCATCATAAATTACACTTCTGTTTGTTTGCTTCTTGAGTTCCACAAACCACCTTGGTTGGTGTCAGTGTTGTTGTTGGCTGCTCGTGCGGCAGCGTGGGGTGGTCCTGTGTGTCCTGGGCCACATTGGTCTCAGGGGAAGGGTTGGGCACTGCTGCTCACAGGAAGGAGCTGCGGGGGCATTGGGGCGTGGGGATGTAACAACTGTGCAAGTAAAGTTCCTCTCGTACACTCTGAATTGACCACATGTTGCTTTCTTCATCTTGCACGTCTCCCGTACTGTTTTCCTTTCGTTGCTTTTGAGTGTTTTTTGTCTCTCTTCCAAAGGTTGGAATGCTTTAAATAAAGGTATTCTAATGCCATTGGAGCGTTTTGCTAGCAGGGTTATAGTAAATTTAATCTTGGTTTTGTTAGCGTAAGTAAAAACGTTTAATTTATTTTTTTTTATCTGTTCTCATATATGGAAAAATCGAGGGTGTTGGAGCCAAGAATTGCTTGAGTAAGAAATGCAGCAGCTGTACTTGCATTATACGTGCGTAAGTGCAGCCTTAGGCTCTCTCACTTGATGGAAAAGAAAATATATTAGGAGCTCTTAAAAGCTCTTTATTGTTTTGTGAGGAGTGGGAAGGATGAGATTCTTCTCCCTCCAAGTAAAACTGACATAATTTCCTTTTAGTTCTGTCTTTGAAAACAAAGATGCCCTTTTCTCTTAATTGTGTGACACCACTATCCCAAAGCAGTTGCCCTTAAAGAAAACAAGAGTGATGATGCTCAAGGTTGAAGAATGTTTTTATTTACTTACAGCTTTTTTAATTTAACTCCTGTGCTTCCCTTAGCTGCTCTGGAGTGAGCCATGAATTAGTTCTTCCTAGTTGGTATGTGCAGCAGATTTTATGTAGCCCAGTTTTCCATTTTGAACTTTATGAAACAACATCTTGAAAGAGAATGGAACTACTTTTGGTAGAAAACTTTTATCCAAGTGTTGCTTCCCATCCACAGAAGCTTGTGCTTTTTATCACAACCTCTCTGAGTAAGAGTTTTTGTTACTTGGATCACCTGCTGTAAATATGTTGTATTCATAACCTCATGGAGCCATGAGGAGTTTTCAAATATAAATAGTACCAATACATTTCCTGTTGTCCTATTTTTGATTGTAGTATAGCGAATGACCTGTCATGCTTTTTGTTTCAAGGTTAGCATTAGATTCATAGATCTTAATATTTTAGCATTTCATTGTTTAAGCAGGAGAGGGCAGCAAAAGTTCATTTTTCCCCATAGGAATGCTCTGGTCCCATTACTGTTTTTAAACTTAGGTGCATCTAACTATCTGTGGGTAGGGGGGGAAAATGAAACTTTTTTATATATATTAAAAGGTGCATATGAAAATATATAGACTGGTCCAACCAGACTGTGAAAATGTCTTCTACTCTACATCCAAGTAATAATAAAAATATCTTCCACCTCTGGATAAAGTACAAGCAGGTCTTAAACTCTTGGATTCAAATGTCATTCTTTGGAAACAGTTTACTTTCTTAAAAGTGGTATCAAAGAAACTCAAACTCAATGGTGCTCCCAGCTATAAATGTGTTATCTTCCTCTTTTGCACATGCTCAAGAGGCTCTGTACTGTGGGTGCATCTAAATAAAGAAGCAATGAAGTGTTTTCCAGGTGCTTGGCTTTTTTTTCCACCTCCTCCCAGATAAACTTCGTGAACCTTTTCAGCAGTGAACTTGGAGCAGTCAGGTGCCCATCTGCATGTATCAAATGTAAGGAATCTTGTCTGGAGAAAAAAACCCCCAAAAAAAGAAGCAATGAGGTGGTAATTTTAAATTTCAGCCAGAATTACCATAGCAAACACTCAAGCTTTCATTAAGTTAATTTTTTTCCAGAGGGCCTCTGATGATGGTGAGTATCCTTGTACCTCCCACAACCCCCCTGTGAGGGAGGTCAGGATGCAGGAAAGAGGCATTAAAGGCACACAGAGTTCTTTGGGAACCCTCTGAGCCTTCCCCTGTGCAGCTGGTGAAGGGATTTGTTCCTTTCTGGCAGCATTCCAGAGTTTCAGTGCTCGTGCTGCTCTCCTTGCAGTTTGGAGGTGAAGGGAAAGGCTGGAGGTCATCAGGGGAAACCTCTGGAGAGAGCCTGGAAAGGGGCACTGCAGGTGGATGGCTTTAGCAGCAGTGTAGGAGAGCTGGTTGCTTCCATAAAATGAGAAATATTTATCAAACATCTTATTTTTAAATATCATGTTTTTAACGTCATTTGTTCCAATAGTCTAACCCTTAATTCTTTCCAATTATTTTTCCACCTTTAATTTTAATCAGTTGGATCTTGCCTGTCTTTGTTAGAAGAGCTCATTATCACAAATCTCTTTAAATACTTGTAAGACAATATTCAGAGCAATTCAGCTTAACAACTCCACGTCTCTCTACTTTCTTATTGCAAGGCAAGTATTTTCTAAAGAAGTTAAAAAAATAAAGAGAACATGCACTAAGTTGGCCTCCAGGGTAGGATTTGTCTTCTTACTTGCAAGTTAGAAATCAACCTTTACAGGATTGGAATTAAAAACTTAAATTAGTTTCCTACTTTCAGTAATGTTAATTGCTTTGCTAATTTTTCATGTTGGTCTTTCCTTCTCAGGGATGTTTTGGTTTCTCCTGCAGCCGCAGAATGTCTGGTTTATCTTACATAAGTTTGGACCTCAGATCACAAGTGTGTAGCCTACAAAAGCAGTTTTGTGTGCAGGTACAGGCTGGTCCCAAGGCTGCATTAATTAGTGCCTCAGTACTCTGAAGGAATAGCTTGGGATTTAAACTGGACACTGATACAAAGTCTCAAATGATGATCTGTGATTTTAAAGACGGAGCTGAATCTAAATCAAATACCCTGGATTTGTTAGTAAATACCTTGAAAGCAAGTGTACCAACCCACTGTGAGCTGTGACCTCAGGCTCTTCTGGGAGCTTCCATGACATGAAAATAGGCAATACAAAAACTTTATTTTGCAATATTTTAATGTTTGTTTGTTTTTGTTTCTCCCCTGTCCATCTTGTCTATTCAGTATTATCACCCCTTCAGTCAGTGAAGGTGTGAGAAGCTGGGGGTCACTCGGGAAGGATGGAAAGCTTGAGATGCATTAAAGAAATGTCTGGTTTTTATTCAGTGGTTCATTCTTCGATACACACTGAAAGTGCCTGGGAACTTGGCATTATCCCTGCATCTGGGAAGGGCTTCCAAAAAGAAAATGAGCAAAGAATAGTCTACACACCAGCTGAAATATTCTACACACCACCTGAATCTTGTCAAAATCCTTATTGGCAAGCTTTTCCTTGTGTGTAAGCAGCCTGTGCAGTTCCCTGGCAGAGGCAGCAGTGTCCCAGCAGTGGATATTCCTGGAGCCCCAGCAGGAGCACACTGGGGCCGTGGCTCTGACAGCCAGGGAGGAAAGACCTTGTGTTTGCACAGGGATTTGTGCAGCCCTCAGTAAAGGCAGAGGTTACCTGCAAACCTTTGTGAACTGAGCGGGCTTGGGTCAGGTTTGAGTCTTTGCCTTTTGAACCTTCAGCACATGTGAGCAAACTGGACAACTGATCCAGCTCAGTTTTAGGTTTTTGTATTAACTCTGCAAAGTGTGCTGAGTGGAGTTGCAGCTTATGCTCATCCCAAAGGCTGTGCAGCAACTCCCCTGCTTTTTTAGATATTTGGCAATGTTTATGATGTGCATGAGTGGAAAATCACTGTATATTTATTTAACTGTCTCCAACCAACATGGGCATCTGTGTTACATAATCTTCCATTTCAGATATCTTGGAGGACCAGGCTCAAGTCTGCAGGTGCCAGATCTTGGAGTAAACTGCAACTTGGCAAAGGGAACTATTGATTTCTGGAGGAAGGAAATGTGGAACTCAGACAGTGGTAATTAGTTTGTTAGCCCACAGACTATTTCACAAGCACAAGGGGATATTATTGCTGTTTGCTCTCCATGACACTCCTCAGACAATAATTGTCACGGTCAGTGGTTATGCACATTTCAAACATCAGTTCTGGGCAGACAAAAATGACTCAGGAATACAAAGAAAAGAATATTTCCCACTGCAGTGTGGTGCCCCCAGCCCCCCTTTCTCCTGTGCTGCACCAGGTTCTGCAAACACAAGTGTAAGGAGTTGTATTGGGCTGAATTTAAGCAAAATGTGCTGTTCTAGTTGAGACTGTCATAAGGGGAACATAACTACAGACCAGGGGGCACTTCAGCCTTTTCCAAACAAATGCCTTTAAGTGGTCGGCTAAAGAAATGGGATTTTTTTAGAGGCCCTTCCACCAGATCAGGTTGTTCCAAGTCCCATCCAGTCTGGCTTGGGCACTCCAATGGATGGGGCAGCCACAACCCTGTGCAGGGCCTCAGCACCCTCACAATAAAGAATTTTTCCCAATATCCTGCCTAACCATGCCTTCCATCAGTTTGAAGCCATCCCCCCTTGTCCTCTCACTACACAGCATTGTAAAAAGTCCTCTGATCAATGTCTGCAAAGATCCCAAGCTCACAAGCTGCACAAACCTTTTGGATTTTTCTGCTAATACAGTTTAGGCCAAGCATGTGCACGAGTTCTTGCTTGCTTGATTTTTGTCTGAATTTGAGAGCAGAGGTGGCCACCTGTCCCAAGGAATTTTAGTCCCGCAACTTCCAACTTTTTCAGCTGCTTTTTTCCCCGCCCTGAACATTTCATCCGGTTTTCTTGCACTGGGTGTGAGTTGGTGACTTTCTCTGTAGTTCAAATACACTTTAGTGACAAAGATCCCCCTTTACATCAAGTGCTTCAGACTTAGCAAACCTGGCATTCAGGTGCAAGAGAACACTCTTCCAGCAGGAATCAGGTGCGCCCAGAATGCGCCCTTTAGCCTATGATTTCAGTTGCTTGGAAAAGAGATTAACTAAATTAAACTGTAAAAACATACACATGGACAATTTTTCCTATCCCCTTCAAATAATAATTTCTGTAATTTATATTTCTGTTAAATCCACAATCAAACCACTTTCACTTCCTATTCTAATTTACCAATCCCCTCTAAAATCATTGACAATGACATGTATGCTGTATATAATTTCATGGGACAATATCCAATCTATTACTAGGACTTAAAATCTAATAATCAAATTTATATGCTTGAATAAATTGTCTAGGAAAACAGAATCCATAAATAAGCCATTTAATGTCATAGTGGTTTTTTGGTGTTTTTTGGGTGTCAATTAGTCACTGACGTAGAATATCCTGTTTTGATTGCATCATCAGTGCAGCAGGGAGTGTGGGCATGGAATCCAAATCTTGCAGCAATAAATAAAACTTGATTTCCAATGTTTAAGTTGTTGCTTCAACATAAGCCTGATGTCATGTGATTGCTATTGGGTCAACCTTCATTCATTGTGGCAGGGTGGTTCAAAGAAAAAAATGGATTCAGTTTTATATTCCAGTGCTTTATTGGCCAGAAAGAGAAAAATCAGATGAAAAGAAAACATTTCTACCACAACATTCCTTCTCAGTAGCCAGGGTGGGCAAAATACAGGTCAGGCTTAGGAGCAGTGATTTCAAGTTTGCTATGGAAATGCTGGTAGTTAAACTTCTGTGACCTTACTTCCACACTGGCTTGTCTCCTTCTGTGCTGCCTGACTTGGCAGCAGATGAACTCCCTAAAACACAGCTTTAAAATGTATTTTCCTTTACTGAAACCTTGAATTGTTTTCCATGTGTTCACATTCTCTCATTCCCATCCATTTTCCTCATCAGGCCATTCATGCTAATACATTTTCCAAGCAGAGTGTCACCTTCTGGAAGTGTATCTGTGCAGAGCTGCGGCTGTTATCTCTTTACCCTCAGAACCATGGCTGAGGAGGTGAGAGGAGGAGGAGGAGAAGGTTTCTGGCCTCCCTGTGCCAGTGGGATGGGAGTGTGAGCAATGCAGGGAGGACATCCCCATCCCTGCATGGTTCCTCCCTTCCCTGAGGGGAGAGGGCTGTGGGGGAACCCTCACCCACTCTCCACTGGATCCCCATTCCTTAGGTTTTCCATCCCACCACACATTTCCCTAAGGATCAGATGCCTGGAGGGGAGGGTATGCAGAAAACAGGTTTGTGTTAGTCTGGGATAGAGTTTGTCCCTCTGCAGAAGGGGATTTTGTTTAAATCTCAAAGATAAATCAGATGTTTTCTATCCAAGGCTAAGGTTTGGGATCTTTTTAAAGATTATTGTCATTATTTTTACTCTGACTGCACTAACATGTTCTTGAATGATGAAGATCATGCCTCTTCCAAGTACAGAAACAGGGTGAGACAGATTAAGTACAGCTCTTCTGTAAACTGCAGGACTTAATTCTCTTCCTGCCAGAGTCAATGATGGAAGCCCCGTTGCTGTCACCAAAAGCAAAATAAAGATCTGTGAGGAGATTGGACAAATCTGCTGTGTCTATGTGGGAAAGTGGTCAGTACTAACAGGGGTGACATGGACTCATTTCCTCTTCCTGCAGTAAATGGATCCCATTCACATCATCCACTATTGTGTGCGCATTGTCTGTGTGACCTCCAGAAAGCTTTTATGGATATCAGCTCCAGAGGGAATGGGTGATCCCAGTCTGCTTCCTGCCTGTTTTACAATGACACCCATCAGCTCCAGA